AATGTAAATAGATGTAATGTGCATTTTCTTTATCTCTTTTTCTCTCTCTCTTTCTTTCTCTCTTTCTCCCATTTCTTACGTCTAAAGTCAAGTTAAACGACGCAATGTTTATCCGCATACGTTTCTCGGGAAAGTAAACATAATACATATATGTATATCTGAATGACGGTGTTGTACGATCGAGTGAATTTACTTACTTACTTACTTACATATATGTTGCGAAAGGTCGCTGGCTACTTGTCTTGATTATCGTTGTCCGTTGTTGTTGTTGTCGCATAATTTAAGCTCGTTATTATAAAAACGTTTTGTGTTTGGATTATTATCATCGAAGCGTGCTCATTACTGGTCCTATTGTTTATGATTCCTTCGAAGATAACGAAAGGACGTGACGAGATAGATTTGCTTTTGTTGTGACGACAAAAGAGAGATAAATTATTGTATTATACGTGTTCAAGATCTATTGTCATATTTATAAATTGATCGAGGATAACCTATGCAAGAGTGATATACTTTATTCATTCTTTATCGATCATACGTTATAATTATGATAATGATTTTATTCTTCATTTTAACCTTGATACCGATTAATTGTAAATTATTACGCAATTCGATTTTAATTGAAGAAAGTTAAACGTGTTATCTTTCGTATATAGATAAATTGCAATAATATTTGTCACGCGTAATGATTTGTTTTGCGTCAATAATTAAACCAGATGAGAAATGGGGCCGGGTCTTATATTTTTGAGATTTAACGATTACAACAACCGGGATGACAAAAAACATTTGTGAAAATTTTCTTTTTACCTTATTTTAAATAATACATTCTATCATTATATATCATAAGAGAAATATCATCTAGTAAATGTAATGAAATTTTAATCGTTCATTATCAATGAGCTTATCATAGTTAAGAGAGTAGTCCGTGAGTTAAGCGTAAGTTGGAGGAAACCAACCGGTTTTGTATAATTGAACGCGGCGAATTGTTAATGCACAACCAGTCGTAATTTTTATTATTCTTTTACCATTTGAGATAAATGTTCGTACGAGTTTATTAGAATACTCTAATAAAGAATGAATTAATTCGTAAGGAAAAATTAATTATCGTTGAGATCGTAGTAACCGATAATAGTTCTCGAACGATTAATCATAGTTCTCTCGTATAGTTTTAACGTGATATCAACACAGCGGAACCTACGTCGGCACGCTCTTTCATAGATATACCGATTTTCCGCTATGAGAAGAAAATGGGATGGGGGCGAGGGCGGGGCGTGTATTGATACGTATGCAATAAATGTACACGTATGCGTATGTATGCGTATGTGCATAAAATACCGTTATTTACGCAACCAATGTTGTTTCTTTTATCGATTGCAATATGCGTGCATCGTTTTTATTTCGCGTTTTTTTTTTTTTAATTATTATTCATATCCTTGTCAACGATAAATTTGTCACGTAAACAAATGATCTATACAGGAATATAAATAAGTACTGTAAAACTTTCAATATTCGATGATCTTAAATATTCGAACGTTCCTACTATAGATTTGTTCGTTTCTAATTCAAATAGAAACAATTTCAATAAAATCAATTGGCTTAATAATTGTAAATAATTTTATACCTTAAATTGTATCTTTTATCTATAATAATAATAATAATAATATCTTTCTAAATAATTAATTAAATCAAATACCCTTTCGTGATACTTTCTTGATTATGTTTATATTGTTTCAGTATGATACCAAAATGAATTACATTGAAATCGAAGAAGAATTTAGCACGAAATGTTTAAAATGAAAAATAAGAAATATTTTATAAATGAAAAACCATGACTAAAGTGCAATAAAATAATATTATATTATACGAAAATACTTTAGTATATTATATACTATACAAACTAGATAGATGATACTACTATACATACAAGATAATTATTCGTATCCGTAAAGAAAGTACGATCGAGATAACATACAAAAAAAAAAAAAATTAAAAAACACACGTTAGATGTTTCTTCACAAAAATAAACTCGAATAATTAGAACGGTTTGAAATCATTAGATATACGTTAACCTACGCTTCCTCCCCCTCTGCCTCCTCCCGGTATTATATCGTAAGTTTTGCACGATCACCGTCGTCGCACGCTTGCCAACAATTAAAAACACATTAGGTCTGTAGAACGGGCAATGTATTAAAGGTCTCTTCCTTTTTCCGTGCTAAAGAAATCGTTGGTAGAATGCAGAAGTAGACGCCGAGGCTTTCAGCAGAAGCCCAGGATGCAGGAGAGTTTAAAGAGAATAAGAAAGAGAAAAAGAGAGGAAAGAAAGAAAGAAAGAAAGATGGGGAGGGGGTGGGAGAGGTAGGAGAGGAGTATAATTTGATACGTTTACCATTTAGTCTTATTTTTGAGTAATTTCGAGTCGCTCAGGGCGTCTCAGCTGTGATGCCGCAACGCAAGCTCGATGTAATTATAGCCTTGGAAACTTTTTTTTTCCTCTCTTTCTCTCTTTCTCTCCTTTTCATTTTCTCTTCCATTTCTTTCTCTTCTTTTATGTCGAACAGGACGAAGAAGCCCTAGGCAATGTCTAGGAGATCAGCATAGAGAAACGTGTGAGAAAGAAAGAAAAAGAAAGAGAAAGATAGAAAGAGTAAGAAAGATTCAACGTTCGATATCTCGTTTAATCTTTCGCGAGAACATCGAGAGAATCATGCTTCATCCCTTTTTACTTATCGTGATCGTTCTTCGTCTAACAACGATTCCAATAATCTGAAAGAAATGATGACCAACTGTCTCTCTCTCTTTCTATTTTTTAAGTTTATATTTTATTTGAAAATATAGTAACCCGTAAATGTTGTTTAACCAACAATAAGTATAAAAAAATCAAAGGAAAGATTAGTAATGGTTTATTAATAGAATTAATATATTATTTTTTGTTTACTTCATAAGATGAATTTTTAATTTAAAGAAAAAAACGCATTAGTTTGATTCTGATATTCCAAGTGGTTATAAAAAAAAAAAAGAATTTATAAGTTTTCAACTCGGTAAAGTGGTTTTTCCGATATCCTATATTTTTATAGTATTTTTTGTAAGAATCTTGTTTTTTTATTTTGTTGGAATTTTTCTTATCAAATGATTGATATTCATATGCGTTATATTATGTCTAATTAAATACACGACCAATGTTAAATGAGTTCTCATTTATTTATATATTTCACATTGAATTATTCAATGATTTATTTACACATCGATTAAATCAGGATTTGTCGTGTTTTTATAGCGAATTAATAGTTTTTTTTTTTTATAAATATCCAAACGATATTCGCGTGTCGTTAATCGATTAATTGCAACTGTTTCTACTTCCTCGATGTTTTAACAAACGTTATAGTCGGGAAAAAGAAATATATTAACAACTTTGTAAGTCTTACTTTTGTTAGATCGTTTCTTTATTGTCGTCGTCTCATTAGTCGTATAATTGCAATTGTTTTGTGACATTTATCATTGGCATGGCAGATGTCTTGCATTGAGAATTATATTTGCGTGCAATTAACGGCGAGCCTGCTGCATCTAATATACATTATCTGTTCGATCCGGCACGTGACTAAGCGATTGCAGTTTCGAATAGAGATGTCTACTTTGTCGTTGACAAGAATTAACTCATTCGAATGAAATTTTATTTTAAAATGATATTTAACTTTCAACAGGATTGTACGTTTAATTTTTCATTACGCGCTGCTAGAAATGTAATTTAAATGAGTATTTATTTTTTTTTTTTTTGAATCATAAGAGGATGCATCACGAATATATGTATATGTATATATATAAAAGACTTGGTAATATATGTATATTAATTAAGCGTATAATTTTATTGCGTTTTATAGTATTGATGTTTGCATATGCATATATGTTTGATACTTATTTAAATTGTATACGAGTAATGGTGTATATAATTTAAATTTTTTAACCATATTTGTAATAATTTCAATGTATAACAATTTGCACATATTACAATTTGATTTTGTCATTCCGTAAAAATAAATTAAGCTTATGTATAATATATATATATATATTATATATATTATATATATAGTATATATATATATATAGCTTATGTATATATATATATATAAGTAAGTAAAACTTCATCGTAGAATTTTCTTTGGCAAAAGGTGATACGGTCGATTACGTTATGCCAAGTTGGTTACATTGCTATCGGATAGCACGTCGAATGCCTGCGCGTCTACATTGTGCTTGCATAATATGAATTAGCATGTCATCGTGCATCGATCCATCGTATGCATTTTTGAACGCATTAATAGCTTGCCTTCCTATTGTTTTCGTTAAGGACAATCAGGTAAATTAAAAACGTATAAAATCTCTATTTAATAAAAAATAAAAAAGATTCGTAAAGGTATCGAACGATATCAGATGAAACTAGTAAATTACTTTTGCAACTAAATTAAATATATTTATATAGATATTGAAAATATTTTCTCTCTATATTTAGTAATGATTATTAATTTCTTTATCGGATAAGATATTTTTTTTTGAGCAAATGAATGAATAAAATATGATTAATAATTTGTTTCGATAATTTAATTGGAAGGGTGAACACATTAATTGTGTGCAAGTGTAATAGTTCAATATTTGATATGTTATGAAATAAAAATATAAGATGCTATTGTAGTCTACCAAAATTTAAGCTTACACGGTACTCTGGACCAAAAAAATATTATTCCATTTTTAAATATTTCACAAAGAACTTACTTTGTACTCTGACCCTGTGTATATATGCATACATATATTAGAATAATCAAGATGTTCAAAAAATAAAATATTTGCTGTCGAGGTATAAATCAAAAAGACAAATGACGTAATTAAAATTTTGAAAGGTAATGGATAGTTAGATGTAAGAGTAAGTTGAATCAAGGAGAAAAACATAATCGTAATAGGATTTTTCTCGTAAAACTTCTTTGATAGGATATATACATGTATATAGTTTTCGATCGATCTAAGGGTGGACGACGGACTTGGTATGGTTGTGTATGGTCTTCCATTTTATGTAGCTATACATTTCGAGGCACATGCCAAGTATGTATATGTATATATATCTACTTTCGTTTCGAAGCATGGATAGAAGGTGTAGCGATTTATCGTGCAGCTTTTCCGGTAAAGTATCTCGAGGTACTTCCGGCAGACGTGGGTATCGGACGATCGACATGGCTCTTTCGAGGTGGAATACTCAATTACCTGAGCGAGTTCCTAGTAGGTACTTCTCCTTCACTGTATAACTATACTGTATAACCTATACTAACTATATGAGTTAGGTTGTTGTATTATGTAGCTACTTACATAGGTTGGATTATGCGTGCCCAAGCACGCTCGCGTTTCGTGACTTTAAGTTGAGGTGACGAGAGAAAGATGACGAGATGAAAATAGTGGGGATACTTATTACTAACTAACGAGAATAGAATCGATGATGACAACGTTTAATAATTAATTAATACCTCCTTTGTTTCTCTTATTTCTATTTTCTATTTTGTGTTTTCTATCATTTATATTCATATTAAAAAGATGAAACTTACAATTAAAGTAGTTATATTAAATTTATTTCAATTCTAAATGAGTGATAAGTATTTCTCACTTTTTCTAATTATATGAAAGATTGAAAAATAATAATGTTACATATTCAATTTTCATATTCAATTCTTAGAATGATTAATCAGTTATTTCGATCAATTATTTATCGTGATTGCACATATTACAAAATACGGACTGTATAATAATAATAATAATAATACCGGTAAAACATAGTTATTGCTGTTACCAAGCGTAGTCCGATGTTAATTAAGAATGTAAATTATCTACCAAACAACCCCTTCTATCGTTGCACGTGTATATGCGCCACTTGCTGTATCCTTTCTTACGTATTATCACGATATAATTATAGGTTCTTTCTTATAACGTTAATTAATCACTTTTTGATCATTATTTTTGGTGGTAACGAACGTCAGTTCAAGCAAGTTTAAAATCGTCAGAGATGAGAAAGTTAATAAAAGTTTTTCCGCAAAAATGATTATTATTTCTTTTTTTTTTTTTTTTTAATAAATATTACGTTTAAATGGAAAAACGTTTGTTTCTATTAATATGTATATCAGCTATAAGTTATGTAAATACTTACTTATCAATGCTCTAATGCACTTAACATTCGCATAGTATTTTCATATCGATTTACTTGACCTTCATCGTGAATCATTGAATAATAAAATTCAAGATCGTTTGAAAATTGTTTTCTTCTTACTTATTCAAGATTAATTAATATCGTACCGTTGCGTGATATATTTATATATATATATATATCTAATTACTTTCAATATACATATTTATCTTGTTTATTACTTGATTTACGAGTCCAGTATTGTAAGAATAATAATAGATACATACATTATTGCAACTCATGGAGATATTTGTATAATTATAATGTAAGTTTGATTCGTAATATAATTTCTTTTTTCTTTTACACATGTTGCACTGAGTAATTAAATAATTAAAATATACGATCGTTTGTTGTTGTTGTTGTTGTTGTTGATTGTAGTTATTATGATCATTATTATTTATATTATGTCGGTCGAATTTGTACGAGATAAAAGTAATGATTAATTATACAAGGATAACAATATTTTTGTTTATCTTCATTAGGTCCCGACATATCTGGCTTCCTTCTGCAACCCTTCAGAAAACCGAAAAGAATAAGGACTGCGTTTAGTCCGAGTCAACTGTTAAAGCTGGAACACGCCTTCGAGAAAAATCATTATGTTGTCGGGGCGGAAAGGAAGCAGCTAGCGCAGGCGCTATCGTTAACCGAAACTCAGGTAAGGAAAAGAAAAATTGATTGATGTGAGATAAAAACGAAGTTAACGTATTCTTTTTTTTTTCAAACGTATATCTATTTAAAACGATCGTAAAAAAATTAAATATTATTTTCATCGATGGTTATGATGATCTACATCGTCTCTCATCGTAAATATTTTTAACGATCAAATCTTTCATCGTGAGTATGAGAAAAAAAATTAATCGCGACACAGTCTTAAACGTTCGAAAATTTACAACAACAAAAAAAAATAGTAGGAGAAAATAGAAGAAGCGGAAGAGGAAGAAAAAGAAAAAAGAACAAGAATATAACGAGTTAGTTTAAACGAGGCCAATGGATGTGCAAATTTGCTAAGAATAGGGATGTACATGGTTGTATGGTGTTCTAAAGAAAACACGTTACGAAGAATCGGCGAAAAGGGCGCGAGAGTCACGCTTTTATGTATTCTATGGGCGTAACGCGCCCTGAAACAAGGGGTGGGGATTCTTAGGAAGAAAGAGATAGATATAAATGAGAGAGAAAAAGAGAACGAGAGGGAGAGAACAAAGTAGGAGGGGTGTGTACGAATGGGGAAGGAGAAAGGTGGCGAGATAGTGAATTAAGTCGGAGAGAGCTTACCTTAGTCGACGCCATTTTGGAAGGAACTCGTATTTACGCATTGTGGTAACAAGTTCTTTCTCTTTTTCTTTTTTATTCTAACTTAAACTTTCTTTTTTTCTAATGTAATTTTCAATTGGGAGGATATTTAATAATTTTTTTCATATTTTATGAAATTATTTTGTTTTTATAATTCATGCGAATCTTAAATTATTTTTAATTTATTAACCAGGGAATTCCCTTTTTAATTACGCAGCTTTTTTTTATTATTTATTTATTATTTATTATTATTTATGCTTAAAATAAATGAAAAGATTATGAAATATATATTTTTTCGTTTAATTATACATAAAGTAGAAAGATTTGTACATTTTGCTTTAAAGTAATACGTTTGACGTATTTATACGTCCCGCTCGGTTAACAATTTAATAAATATTATTATATTTATATAATTTATAAAATATATATTGTTATTTATATATTTAATTATATAATTATATCATTTATATATAATATATATTTAATATAATATGTATTTATTATATATATATATATATA